TTAATAAAAATTTATTTAATATTGTACATGTAATATATTAATTTTATATATTATATACATTAATTGTTCCCTTTTTTTTGTTCTCATTAAGAAATAAATTTAACATTATTGTATAGTTTTTTGAATTTATGTAAAGGATTTTTATATTTTTGAAAAAATATTTCAATGTTTTATACTGAAAAAGAGGTAACTAAAAAAATCATTTTAGAAACTGCCATCTAGCGAGATTCTGTGTAATATCGATTGATACATATGTTGGAAAAGAAGATATCTAAAAAAATCTTCTGTGGATAAAATAGGATTCCAAAAACAGTTATCTCCTAATGAGTAGTTATGCTCGTAGTAATAATATTCTCAAATATTCTTAACATTTTTGTAAAATTAGATAATACCATGTTAAATATATGTATTATAAGATGTAGTATTGCTTCTGCATTTATTGATAATTATGTTTATAGAAAACTACATAATATGTACATATATAATATAAATATAAATATGTATAAGTATAAAAACATTAATAATAAGAATAAGTTGATATTGCAAATATATTGAGTGTATCTTAAAAACCTACTAATCATATAGCGTTATTTCTAATTAAAAACTGAATAAAAAATTCCTTTACCATTTTGCAATTTTCGCAATTTTTTTTATTAGTTATCCAATGAGCAGAATGCATAAAATCGGTACATAAGAATTTTAAGATATCTCTAAGAGCTCTTTGGAGAACATCTTTATTTCACAAAGATATTTTACAAAGAACACTGAAAGATATTTTAAAGTTGTCTTATGTATCAATTTTACCTGCTTATTTCGCAATATGTAGAAATTAATATTTCATTAACTATTGAAAAAACTGTAAAATTTAGAATTTTTTTATTCAATGTTTAATCAGGAATAGCTATATGATTATAGTGAGCGCTTTTTAAGATACACCCTGTATAGTATAAAAGAATATATTTTTAAAAAAATAATTTTGATTAGATAAAAAAATTTTGTATGAAATCTGGAACGTGCATGTATTAACTTTAGTAAAAATATGTATATATTGATATTGATGTTCCATATGCGCGAAATATTAAACGCTTTTCTTGCAAAATTCAGCAACGACGAAGAAATCGAAGAAGCGAATAGAACGGACCTAGAGGGTTACATTGATGAGACTTTCTATACATTTATATAGGGTAGTCCGGAGAAGTTTTAGTGTCTGCTGAGCGCTACGCTGTGCGAGATATTACCATCCATAAAGTTTTACGAACCGAAAATATCAAGCTTACTTGGATACTAGTTTATACGCGTCTCCACAGCCTATGGTTGGTTCTCTTCGGCAATTACAGGCTTGCTTGATATTAAGGAACAACGACGTACGCGCGAAAAACGTATCGCTCGTGGTTACGGTTACGAGGGAGGTATTGTATTTTTCTTTTTTTCGCAGAAACAGTGGCGAACCACT